AGCCACCGCGCCTGGCCTCAGAACACCATTTCTTAAGCACTCATGTGCTGAGCTGAGTGTGTCACAGGCCTCGTTCAGTCCTGACGTGTCACAGCACCCCTGCAAGGGGGAGCAGAGCCGCCCCCATTTCACAGATGGAAAGCAGGGGTTGCCAGCCTGCCTCATGCCACAGCAGGTGCGTGGTGGTTACAGTCGAAGCCCAGCTGTGCCCAGTCCTCATCAGACTCCTAGCCGCCACGCTTACTGCCTCTGCACCCACAACCCAGGCGATTTCAAGAGAGTAAACTATGGGTCTCTGATGTCTCATTTGTCCCACTGAGGCAGGATGGTCTCAGATTCCCAGGTTCACAGCCTAGAGGTAGTGAGGTCTGTGACCTGCTCTGCAGAAGTGGCCTGCTCTGCAGCTCTGTTGCAGATTGGGTGGAGGGGAGGACAGTGACATAGCTGGTAGAGTCCCCCTCCCCCATGCTGTCAGCAGCTCTGGCCTCTGTGGGCAGAAGCCATGTGGAGGGTGTGTCGGAGGGGTGGCTGGCTGGGGGTGGGTGGGCTGCGGGCACACCCCAGCTCCTGGTTCTGCTCCACAGGTCTCCTTGGTCTTCCTGGTCAGCGGGCTGGTGATCCTGGGCTATGCTGCCGCTGTCAGTGGCCAGGCCACATACCAGGGTGTGGTTAGGGGACTGTGTGGCCCCGCCATTGGGAAGCTGTGTGAGGCCTGCTTCCTCGTCAACCTGCTCATGATCTCTGTGGCCTTCCTCAGGGTGATCGGGGACCAGCTGGAGAAGCGTAAGTACCTTTGTGGGACTTGAGGTGGCCCAGGGTGCTGGACCCCTAATGACCTCTTGGGGCCTCCGGTTGGTGAGCAGGATGAGGGGCCCTGGCCTGGGCTCTGAGGGACAGCAGAGGCTGACACCACACCTGTGTTCCTAACATGGTGGGGAAGGGAGGCTCAGAACAGGTAGTCACCAGTGGGATGAGAATCATAGCGTGCACAAGTGCACAAGAGAGGTTGTGGCCACAACTGGGATGTCCAGTGGGGACAGCTCATTTCACAGATGAGGAAATGGACCAACAACAAGAAGCCCTTCTCAGAACCAGTAACACTTTTAACTTTGGGATGGCTGTGGCTCTTAGCCTTCACGCATCCTTGGCCTCTAGTTCCTAAGATTTTCCCTCTAAGCACTGCTTTAGCTGCATCTTACCAATTCCGTTATGTTCTGTTTTCATTGGTCTTATTTCTCATGAGTGGAAAACTTAAAATACTTGCTAATTTTCACTGTGGTTTCTTTGGCTCATGAGATGTTTAGAATTGTGGTGTTTAATTGCCAGTTATTTGGGAGTTTATTAGATACCTTCGTGGTTTCTACCTTAATTTGCATCGTGGTCAGGGAATACACACTGTGTCATTTCAGTCTTTGGAGATCCAGTGAGACTTGCTCTGTAGCCCAGCGCATGGTCCGTCTTGAACTCTTTTTGTGCTCTTCAAAGAATGTGTACTCTGCAGTTGCTGAGTCCATTAGGTCAGGGTGGTCAACAGCTATGTTAAGGTCTTCCATAGCAACCATAGTAATTTGCAGGTCTAGTTATTCTATCAATTCCTGAGAGAGGATGTTAAATGATGTTAAAATCGCCAGCTGCGATTGCAGATTAGCCTATTTAGTTCTGTCAGTCTGCATGCTTCACGGTCTTTGAAACGCTGAGCAGGTATATCCTTTTATTGTTATGAAGTATTTATCTCTGGCGTTGAATTTTCTTCTCTACTATTAATATAGCCACGCTAGCCTGCTTAAGACTAGTGTTTATATAGAAGTTCTCTTCTCATTTATTTATTTCTTTATTTTTTGATGGAGTTTTGCTCTTGTCGCCCAGGCTGGAGTGCAGTGGCACGATCTCAACTTATTGCAACTTCTGCCTCCGGGGTTCAAGTGATTTTCATGCCTCAGTCTCTTGAGTAGCTGGGATTACAGGCATGTACCAGCATGCCCAGGTAATTTTTGTGTTAGTGGAGACGGGGTTTCTCCATGTTGGTCAGGCTGGTCTGGAACTCCCGACCTCAGGTGATCCATCTGAGTCGGCCTCCCAAAGTGTTGGAATTACAGGCATGAGCCACCTCCCCTGGCCCATTCTTTAACTTAGAATCTAACTGTGGTTTGGGATTGTGTGTGTGTGTGTGTGTGTGTGTCCTTTTTTGCAACATCAGCCTGAGAATGGCCTGGGATTTTAAAATGCATTTCTCATAGACAGCATATGCTTAGGTCTTGGTTTTTTATCCAACTTGACAGTCGCAGACTTCAGATTGGAATATTTAGACTTGTAATTGGAATGTGATTGTCGAGAGGGTGAACTGCAGTCTACCGTTTTGCCATTTGTTTGTTCGGTGTGTCTCTGGACCCATGAAGCTAAGGCCCCTGACTGCGGGGTATTGAAACAGAAGGCTGCTGTGTCTTGGTTAAGACTATCTTACATCAGAAAGAGCTGAGATGGGCATATCTGAACCTCTTAATGGGTAAATGGGCACAGAAATGTCCTGCCCACCAATGACAATTAGAGTTGGTCTGAAGTGTCAACACTGGGGAACGGTAGCTTTGCTGTGTTAAGAAGGATTCTGAGCCTCACCATGAGCACAGCCCCCTCACTGCTAAGAGGATGGATTAGGATATGGGCCACCCCATGTCTGGGTGGATTGACTGTGGTGGAGAGAACGTTCGTTGTATATTTCTGGTTAGATATTTGGGGATGTGTCTGCATAGGGAAGGCCAAGCTTCTGCGAGGGAGTGCTAGACAGAGATTGGAGTGCTTGGGGGAGCCATGGAATGAGGTCCACATGACCTTGTCTTTGATGCTGAAGATCTTGTGCCCCAAGGAACGCTGGGTTTAGGAAGGAGCTGGTGTAGTCCTGCTCAGGCCCCAAGGACCCTGGCTATGGGAAGTCCAGATGCAGACAAAGGGACTGCCTCATCCCATGCCGCCTGGAGGTCCAAAACCCACCCACGATCCCAGTGCCCTCCTTGAGGGCATGCATTCCCTTGGCATCTCTGGCCCTCCCACGTGGGTGCTTCTGTGAACTACCTGCTTGTGGAACTTCCCCTGCCTCATTTTGTAGACAGGAGCTATTCTCACAGGTATTCATTGCTTTGCGTGAGTGCCCTTGTTGAGTGAGAACAAAGGGGCATTTATGACACCTCAGTGCCAATGCCCACCTCCCCTACCCCTTACCTGCCCAGGTGGTTCCCAGGGGCTCACACTGTGAGCCACCCTCCCACTCTCCTATGCTTCCCCTCTCCATGTATCTGGCCTCTTAGATTGGTTCCAAATCATTCATCCTACTGTGGCAGAATGAAAATGTCCCAAGATTCTTTGGTGTTCTTTCCATGGAGTGGTCCGTAGGGCCTGTGTCCCTTGCCTTAGAATTAGGCGGGCCTGGGATGGCTTTGCCCAGCAGTATGTGGGAAGTGGGATGCTGTGCCAGTTAAAGGGCCTGGCTTTTAAGAGGCCAGATAGCTTCTGCCTCGGGCTCTGGAATCCCCTAGCTGCGTGGAAGAAGCTGGAGGTGCCTGTTAGACATGCCCATGTAGAAAGACTCCCAAACTATAGGGAGCCCAGGTGTACCCACCAGGTACCAGGTGTGGGCGTGCCATCGTGGGCTGTCCAGACCAGCCCCACTGCCAGCCCGGTACCCCCAAGTGGCCCCTGCCAATGCTGTGTGGAGTAGGATTGGCCCTGTACTAATTCTCTACCTACAATCAGTGACATGATAAAGTGGTTCTAAGCCACTGTGTCTGGGGTCATGGTTTTGCTGCAACCATGGGGACCTGCAATGCTGATGCACAGCAGCCTGGCACTGCCCACTCAGCAGCCAAAAATCTACTTCAGACCCGCATTTGACCCCAGGCACCACTGGGTTCCTGAGTGAAACCAAAGGGTCTTTGACCAGATGGCGTGCCTGGTCATCCCCACATCTCAGGCCTTAAGATGGTGCTGGGCCTGGCATGGTGGCTCACTCGTGTAATCCCAGCACTTTGGGAGGCTGAGGTGGGCGGATCACGAGGTCAGGAATTTGATGCCAGCCTGATCAACATGGTGAAATTCCATGTCTACTAAAAATACAAAAATTAACCAGGTGCTGTGGAGAGTGCTTGTCATCCCAGCTACTCAGGAGGCTGAGGCAGGAGAATCACTCGAACCTGGGAGGTAGAGATTGCAGTGAGCCGAGATCGAACCACTAAACTTGAGAGCTTGGGCAACAGGGTGAGACTCTGTCTCAAAAAAAAAAAAAAAAGGGCTGAGCTCATGGAAGGAGCTCAGCAAACGTTTGTTGAATGAATTCATGTGTCAGGGTTAGTTCCCGCATGGGGCATGTGACCTGTCTCCATCTGGCTTGTGATCCCATCCCCGGGCTCCTGGGGCTGGCTGAGGGCTGAGTCCAACCCCACCCAGGGTTCAAGGGCCATGCAGGAGCCAGGAACCCATGGCATTTTGTGCTTTGTGGCTCAGCTCTCCCTGTGTCTCTGCCAGTGTGTGACTCCCTCCTGTCTGGCACACTGCCTGCTCCGCGGCCCTGGTACGCAGACCAGCGCTTTACCCTGCCCCTGCTCTCCATGCTGGTCATCCTGCCCCTGTCTGCCCCACGGGAGATCGCCTTCCAGAAATACACAAGGTAAGGGCTGGGGATGCTTCCTGGTGGGGGCCCCCACCTCACTGAGCATTCGTGTCAGGGTTTCTGTCAACCTGGGGTTAGAGGAGCTGGGGGATTGGCCTTCCCATTTGGAGAAGGGAAAAACAATAGAAGATTATACAAGTAAAATATATTCATACTGGAGAATGCAAGCCAAAAAAAGCAAATGACCTGTAACAACATCAGCGATACTGACGGTTTATTTCATTCTTAGACTTTTTGCACATCGGCGCAGAGAGACAGAGACACCTCCCCCCAACACACACACGCACACACGAGCGCACATATACAGAGGTGGTTTTTCATTTGGTGGCTGAGGCTCTGTATACATTTGAAGAAATAAAGCTTGGCAACAATATCCATCACTCTCTGCTGCCTGCCCTTCCCCTGTTGTGTATAGAACAATAGACATTGTGTAGAAACAGCAGGCGGCAAACCTGAGCCTCCCCCAGGCCTCTGCCCTGCAAGGCGCTTGTGACACTTGGACCGAGCCAGCAGGGCTTGTCCCCTCTCCAGTGTGACTGAGCCTGCTGGGGTCTTGACTTAGGCATCAGGCTGAGTGGCTGACTAGCTTTTGCTGGTGGGAAGGAAATTATATTACAGCTGCCATCAGGTGCCATTAAGAATTCTGTACATCTGGGCCGGGCACAGTGGCTCACGCCTGTAATCCCAGCACTTGGGGAGGGTAAGGCGGGCGGATCACAAGGTCAGGAGTGCAAGACCAGCCTGGCCAACCTGGTGAAACCTCGTCTCAACTAAAAATGCAAAAATTAGCTGGGTGTGGTGACGCACACCTGTAGTCCCAGCTACTATGGTGGCTGACGCAGGAGAATTGCTTGAACCCAGGAGGCAGAGGTTGCAGTGAGCTGAGATTGTGCCACTGCACTCCAGCCTGGGTGACAGAGTGAGACTCCATCTCNAAAAAATACAAAAATTGGCTGGGCGTGGTGGTGGTCGCCTGTAGTCCCAGCTACTAAGGTGGCTGAGGCAGGAGAATTGCTTGAACTCGGGAGGCAGAGGTTGCAGTGAGCTGAGATTGTGCCACTGCACTCCAGCCTGGGTGACAGAGTGAGACTCCATCTCAAAAAAAAAAAAAAAGGAATTCTATACATCTGCTCTCTGGCCCTCAAAGGAGCCCTGCCCCACGAGTCCCACTGTACAAATGAGGACGGTCAGGTGGAGGTGGAGAGCTTGGCCGGCACCTCACTGTCAAGGGCAGAGCTGAGATTTGGATCCTGCTGTCCCTCCTGTCCATCAACGGCACGTCACCCACTGTGCAGCCCCTCACATGGTCACTGTGTGTTAGCATCCTAGGTACGCTGGCCGCCTGTTACCTGGCCCTGGTCATCACAGTGCAGTACTACCTCTGGCCCCAGGGCCTCCTGCGTGAGCCCGGTCCTTCACTGAGGTGAGTCTGGGGGAACAGCTTCCGGTGGCCGCCGAGGGGGGGCCCAGCTGGGGAGTCTGCGAGGGGAGTCTTGGAGGAGAAGCCCCTCATGCTCCCTTCCATGCAGGTCTTCCCATCTCTGATGCGGTGAAGCCAAGGGAGGGTCCCTTTCCTTCTGCAGCAGAATCCTGGCTTCGGCTAGTGATGACCCAGACAGGACAAGGGATGCAAAACCGCCCAAGGCCACGGCGGCCTAGGGGTCATAGGCTGGTGTGGACTTGTCCCCACAGTGTGGAGGTGCAGAACCTGGCACCCAGCCAGCTGCATGTGCCAGGGCAGGGGAACAGCGAGGAGCTGGTGGGGCCGGGCTGGCCCAAACAAGGGCAGAGAGTGTGGGCGGGGATGTCATGTGGAGATTCAAAGCCATGGCGAGGACTTTGGTCTTGCTCTGGATGAGCTGGGAGGCTTGGCAGTGTTTTGAGTACCGCAGGGATGCGACAGGCCCTGTTTTTAAGAGGATCACTTTGGGCAGGGTATGGTGGCTTATGCCTGTAACCCCAGCACTTTAGGAGGCCAAGGCAGGTCGGTAACTTGAGGTCAGGAGTTCAAAACCAGTGTGGCCAACATGACGAAACCCTGTCTCTACTCAAATACGCAATTTAGCTGGGCATGGTGGTGTGCACCTGTAGTCCCAGCTAGGCAGGAGGCTGAGGCAGGAGAATTGCTTGAACCTGGGAAGTGGAGGTTGCAGTGAGCCGAGATTGCACCACTGTACTCCAGCCTGGACAACAGACCAAGACTCCATCTCACAAAAAAAGCAATGAAATCAAAAGACTCACCCTGGCTGTTCTTGGGTCTTTGGGAGCCAAGGGCAGCCACAGAGGCCAAGTGGGAGGCCCCTGCCTCGGTTCCAGGTCCCAGCCCTTCGTATGTGCCTGAGATCAGATTTCCCAGTGGCAGGGCTGGTTCATGGACATGGGACCCATGCAGCCACCCAGGCCCCATGCTCAGTTTTACCCTGCTGTCGCCATCTTAAAATCCTGAATCGCTGTCCACCGAGGGTCCCCACATGTTCCTTTTGCACCTGGCCCTGTGAATTCTGTGGCCAGTGCTGCTGGCGGGTTGGAAGGTGAGTAAGAGGGAGAAGAAAGTTAGGGTGACTCAGAGCTCTCAGCTTGGACAGTGGGAGGGATGAAGATGCCCATTCCCAGATTAGACAGGACAGAGAGGGGTGGGCGCCTGGGAGCAGCTCAGGCTGGAACAGTCAAGGGGGAGCTAACCTTGAGACATCAAAGAGGGAAGTCAAGCAGCTGGGGTGTGTGTGTGTGTGTGTGTGTGTGTGTGTGTCTGTGTCTGTGTCTGTCTGTGTCTGTGTCTGGAGTTGAGGGAGAGAGGTCTGAGCTGCAGGAGAAACAGGGCTGACTGGCCTGGAGCCGGCGTTCAAGGTTGTTCACCGAGCCCGTGGTAATCCAGCACTGGCAGGTGGCAGGGGTGAGGAGGACCTGCTAAAAACAGGAGACGGTGAGTTAGGAGATGCGAGTGTCCGAGGGCTGCTGTGACAAGTGACCACACACTTGGTGGCCTAAAATACCAGAAGTGTCTCTCCCTTCTGCTGCCTGGAAGTCCAGAGTCAAAGTGTGTCAGGGCGTGCTCCCTCTGACGGCTTCACGGGAGGATCTTTGCTGCGTCTTCCCGCTTTTGGGAGATGCGGAGATCTGTGTTCTTGGCTGGCAGACACATCACTGAGTCTCGGCCGTGATCCTCATGCCACGTGGTCTCCATGCGTGTTTTCCCTGGCAATAAGGGTAGTGTGCATTGCATTCAGACCCACCCTAAACCAGTATGATCTCATCTTGTTTTCACTAACTACACCTGCAAAGCTCGTCAAAGGAGGCTGGGGACCAGGCGGGGATCCCGAGATGCTGGGCCTGGAGGTTGTCCTCATGCACCCCTCTATCCTCTTAGGTGGCTTGGACGGAGCTCAAACCATCCTTGTGCTATTTGGGATCATTGGAAAGATGCTGCGGGTGCCCCCCTATTACCAAACCGCACTGGGGGCCTGGAGTCTTTAAGAGGGAAGTGGGGAGTTCTTTCTTGTGCTTTCCCTGCCCAAACAGACCATGCCATGTTACCACATGTCAGCAAAGACATATTTAGGAAGTGCAGCCTTTAGCCAGCATCCTTTTCCATTTGCAAAAGCCTGGTCACAGACACTCATTGAAAATGCATCTCGCAGCCACGCTCTGTTGCTGTTTCCCGGCATCCTCTGAAATGCACGCTTGCAGCCGGGGTTCGTTCCGGTGTGACCCTTCTCTAATGAACTCCTGTTCTTCTCTGTTTACAGCGCTGCCTCCTGGACCTCTGTGTTCAGCGTCTTCCCCACCATCTGCTTCGGGTTTCAGGTAATCTGAGGATCTGTGTTGAAGACTGGCATATTTGCAGAGGCTGTGGGTGACGCTCTGCTCCCTTGGGAAACCTTGGTTTTCCTGTCAGGGAGGAATTTGAGGACTTCTCCTAGGATACAGTGGGCTCTCTGCCGTCTACCTGTGGCCCCCAGGCTGTTTTCCGAGACCGTGAGAGCGGGTTGGTGTCTGGGCTCAGCGAGGTGGGAATTGCCTTGAACTTGGGAATGCAGCCCCCACCCATGGCCAAGAGCAGCACTGTGTTGATTGGGTCTGAGGTAGTTGTGGGGACCTGGGACCTGTCCCCTCCTCTGCAGAACTCCCACAGAACTGTGATCAGGCCTGAGGCCTGGAGCCTAGAGCTGCCCGGTTAACTCTGGCAGGTCACTTGTACGCAGGGGGACTCTGCCCAGGGCCTTGGGAAGGAAAGTGCCCGCCTCCTGATGGGTACAGGTTAGAGGAGCCGGAAGGTGCACAGGTGGTTGATTAGAGAGGGGAAGCGGGCAGAAATACTGAATTTTTAATGGCATGTCATGGGACGGAGGATGGGGCTCTACAAGTAGAATCCTGGCAGAGGGACAGAGTCGTAGGTGTCCATTCAAGGCGGTGGGGTTTGAAAGGGATCTTGAAGGTTGTATGAGACGAAGCCAGGCGACTGGAAGGGCAGCCCAGGTGGAGAGGACAGCACAGCGGGCTGGCGATATGAGCAGGCCCCACGCACAGCCAGAGAGAGGCCTGCAGAGGGCTCTGTGGCACAGCGCTTTGGGGGAGATGGCAGGGTGGGGGGATGTGGGGAGATGGCAGGGCCTGGGCGCTGTCCCGTGCTTTTGGGCTGTGATGGGTTCCCCCAGCCTTGCTAGGAGGTAGCAGCAGACACTGTTCTTCCATTGCTTTTTCTTTTTTTCATCCGAGATGGAGTCTCACTCTTGTTGCCCAGGCTGGAGTGCAGTGGATCTCAGCTCACTAATTCTCCTGCCTCAGTCTCCCAAGTAGCCAGGACTATAGGCATGCACCACCAAGCCTGGCTGATTTTTTTTTTTTTTTTTTTTTATAAGTACAGATTGGGTTTCATATGTTGGCCAGGCTGGTCTCCGACTTCTGATCTCAAGTGATCCATCCGCTTCGGTCTTCCAGACTGCTAGGATTATAGGCATGGGTCACCGCGCCTGGCCAAGTTCTTATTTGAGGGAAGATTTGTCTCTATCTCCTAAAAACAACCACGTATCCACTGCCTACAACCAGCACCAACAAAACCATTCCAAAGTAAAATCAAGTACACAGGGAGCTGGTGGGGGTTGCCGCTGGATCTGAGCTTTGTGGCCATTGAGTTCTCTTCCCTTGTCCATCAGTGAGATTCTGCCTCGGTTCTTCATCTTGCCTTTTCTTTGAGAACCCTTTTCAGGAAGAAAAAAAATCCTGCAACATTTCCATTTCTCTTCCTCGTAATGAGTCGGCGTGCTGCCTCCGGGCCTCAGCAAGCCACTTCTGTGGATTTCTCACATTGCTTCTTGCACGCCCAATATTTTGAAAGATCTAAAGAGCTGATTTTGCTGTCAACTGTTTGTCTGGATTGAGTTTAACAACCCCTGTCTGTGCTCAAGCACCATATGGTGCGGCAGACCCATGCCGGCGCTGCCTCCCCTATGAGATGCTCACAAAGGGTCCCCTCACCTTTGCCTCCAGCCCTCACCCGATTCTCCTAGCAACGAGGCCTGGGCTGCGTTTCCAGGGACACAGGATGCAGAGATGAAGAGCTGGGAAGATGGGAATTCAAGGAGTGGGAGGAGGGGCTCAGGCTAGAGGTGGGGCTGCCAGGATCTGGAGCTGCGGGCGAATCGATGTAGCTGAAGGTGGTGGGAAAGAGGGCGAGGCTGGAGAGGGTTGCAGGGAAGGGACGGTCACCAATTGTCATCAGGATCTCGGACTTGACTCAAACACAGCGTCCTCACCCAAACACGTGGCAGTGGGGTGCTCCCGCTCCAGGCCTGTCTAGTCAGTGGGGGCCTCGGAGGGCACAGGGGTGCAGCTCTATCAGGACTTGGGGTTTTTGTGTTTTTAAGAAACATCTTTATTAAGGCAGAATTCACATACCTTGCAATGTGCCCTCCTGAAGTGTCCAGTGCAGTGGTTTTTTTTAGTACGTTGAGCTGTGCGACCATCACCACGCTGTCCATCGCCCCCAGAAGAAACCCACCACCGTCAGCAGGCACCCCCGTTCCTTGCCCCCGTCAACAGCTCTTCTGCTTCCTGTCTCTCTGGATTTGCCCACGATGGCCATCTCCTAGGAATGGAATCCCACTGTGGCTTTTTTTCACAAGCTTTCCTTCCTTGCCATGTTAGGTTCATCCCTATTGTAATAGGTGAAGACTTCACATTCTGAACAAGGTAGACATACTCCTTCTTGTGTGATTGATGGGCGCCGAGCAGACAAACCCAAAAGCCCAGCCACATTGGGGCCGGGAGCCGTGTGAGACAGGAAACCAGCTCTGGCTGAAGAACCAGCCCAGGCAAAGGCCCTGAGGCAGGGAGGGGAGCCCCAGGCAGGTCTAGATAGTGGGGTGCCTCCCCACTCAGCCCTGGGGGATGCTGAGCCCTCCCCACTCGGCACCTGTGTTCCCTCGGCTGCTCATGAAACACCCGTGTTGACGACCCACCCAGAGAAATGAGTCCACGTGACTCATGGGCTGTTGGCATTGGTGGTGTAGGCTTTGCATTAAGCATTTTTGAGCTGGGCTTGGTGGCTCATGCCTTTAATCCCAGCACTTTGGGAAGGCAAGGAGGGAGGATCACTTGAGGTCCAGAGTTTGAGACCAGCCTGGCCAACATGATGAAACCTTGTGTCTACTAAAGAATACAAAATATTAGCCGGGCATGTTGGCGGGTGCCTGTTATCTCAACTACTTGGGAGGCTGAGGCAGGAGAATCACTTGAACCCCTGGAAGGTGGAGGTTGCATTGAGATCGCACCATTGCACTCCAGTCTGGGCAACAAGAGCGAAACTGTGTTTTAAAAAAAAAAAAAAATGCTGGGAGCGGTGGCTCACACCTGTAATCCCAGCACTTGGGGAGGCCAGGGCAGGTGGATCACAAGAAGAGGAGATTGAGACCAGCCCGGCTAACATGGTGAAACCCTGTCTCTAGTCAAAATACAAAAACTAGCTGGGTGTGGTGGCACATGCCTGTAATGCCAGCTACTCAGGAGGCTGAGGCAGGAGAATGGCTTGAACCAGGGAGTCAGAGGTTGCAGTGAACCCAGATGGTACCATCGCACTCCAGCCTGGGTGACAGAGCGAGACTCCCTCTGAGAGAAAAAAAGGAAAAATAAAAAATGAGCCAGGCGTGCCTATAATCCCAGTTCCTCGGGAGGCTGAGGCAGGAGAGTCAATAGTCTCTTGAGCCCAGGAGGCGGAGGTGGCGGTGAGGCAGGATGGCGCCACTTCACTTTAGTCTTTGTGACAAAGTGAGATCTACCTCCTGGGCTCAAGAGACTAGTGACTCTCCTGCCTCAGCCTCCTGAGTAGCTGGGTTTACAGGCACTTCCTACCACACCGGACTAATTTTTGTACTTTTAGTAGAAATGGGTTTTTACCATGTTGGTCAGGCTAGTCTTAAACTCCAGACCTCAGGTGATCCACCCGCCTTGGCCTCCCACAGTGCTGGGAGTATTGGCGTGAGCCACTGCACCCTCCTACATTTAAAATTCTTATTCCAGTTGGGCCAGTTCCTCGGGAGGCGGGCCAGTTCCTCGGGAGGCTAGCCAGTTCCATGTTCTGTGGGCGAGATTTTTCTGTGCTGAGGTGCGCTGTTGTCTGTCCTTTTTCAGAGCCGTGTCATGTTCTGTGTGCGCACATCCTGCTGTGTACTTACAGCTTCTGCTCTGGGTGGGCCCGCGGTTTGTTTCCCATCTTCTGGATGTGGGGGCTTTTTTTGCCTCAGTCGTTCCCAGTGAAGCCAGCATCCCGCTGGCCTGAGTCCCGCTGAGCCGCCCTCTGTTTCGCAGTGTCACGAAGCCGCAGTCTCCATCTACTGCAGCATGCGCAAGCGGAGCCTCTCGCACTGGGCCCTGGTCTCCGTGCTGTCCTTGCTGGGCTGCTGCCTCATCTATTCACTGACCGGTAAGGCCCTTCCCCGGCGCCCTGGCAGAGGGTGGGCAGTGAGAGTAGAAACGGGAGTAACAGCGAGTATCTCTCTGGAGAGCTGACCATGTGCTGGTCTGAATACTACACCTTGTGAGCACCTTGATTCCTTTAGTCCTTAGGAAAAGACCTCATTTCATAGGTCTTTTGACCAAGCTCTGAGGCTCAGAGGGCCTCCAGAACTTGCTCAGGTTTCACAATTAGTTGTGCAAAGCTGAGACCGAAACTCCAGCCCAGCCGTCTCCAAAGCCCCTGCTCTTACCCCACCCAGCCCTACTGCCCATGTTGGTCATTACAGTGTGACATCTTGGTAGTGGTTTACAAAACGTGTGTGGGTACAGTAGACTTACGTGCTCACAAACTGTGTGGGAGGCAGAGGGTCTTTAAAGGTGTTGAAAGCGTGGCTCAGTGAGGGTCTGTGACACGCCCAGGTCATATAGTGCATTGGGGGCACAGAACCCGGGTCCCAGGCACGGCTGGCTTCTGGCTGGCCACTTGACTCCAGTCTTTTTGCATTCACCATCAGAGCCTCCAATTTAGGAAGCCCTTGGGCTACAGTGAGTCTACCAGGCAGCCTTGAACTCTGGTGTGCTATGGTTTGAGTTTTTATCCTCTTTAAAACTCAGGTTGAAATTTAATCCATGATGTGGCAGTGTTGAGAGCTGGGGCTGTAAGAGGGGATTGGGTCATGAGGGCTCTGCCCTTATGAACGGATTAATCTATTCATGGATTAATGGATTAATAGGTTATCATGGGAGTGGGGCTGGTGGCTTTGTAAGAGGAAGAGAGACCTGAGCTCACACGCTCGGCCCCCTCAGCACATGACACCTGCGTGCCACTTCAGGGCTCTGCAGGTCCCCCCCAGCAAGAAGGCTCTCACCACAGGCAGCCTCTTGATCCTGGACTTCTCAACCACCGGAACTGGAAAAAAATAAATTCCCTTTCTTTATAAATTACTCAGTTTAAGGCATTCTGTTGTAACCAACAAAAAATAGACTAAGACTGAAGATTGGTATCAAGAGTGAGGTGTTGATGATGATCATTACCTGGAATGTGGAAGTGGCTTTGCAGCTGGGTAATGGGTCAGGCTGGAAGAATTCGGAGGAGCAGGCTAGAAAAAGCCTAGATTCTGGTGAGGGCTTAGAGACAAGGCTAGGGAACGTGTGGAACTTCTTGATACTGGTTAGCTAGTCATGGAAATATGGATAATAAAGGCTATTCTGAGGAGGTTTCAGACGCACTGAGGAACAAGGTTTTGGAAGCTGGTGTAAAGTCCAAAACTGTTAGAAACTGGCAAAGAAGCTGGCTGAGCTGTGTCCATGCCCACGGGCTTTGTGGAAGGCTGAACTTGAAAGGGATGAAGTGGCCGGTCACAGTGGCTCACACCTGTCATCCCAGCACTTTGGGAGGCCAAGGCGGGCAGATCACTGGAGATTAGGAGTTCGAGACCAGCTGGGCCAACATGGTAAAACCCTATCTCTACTAAAAATACAAAAAATTAGCTGGGCGTGGTGGCGGGTGCCTGTAATGCCAGCTACTCAGGAGGTTGAGGCAGGAGAATCACTTGAACCTGGGAGGCAGAGGTTGCATTGAGCTGAGATCATAGCATCGTACTCCAGCCTGAGCAACAAGAGTGAAACTGTCTTAAAAAAAAAAAAAAAGGAACTAAAGTGTCTGGTGGAAGGAATATCCAAGTAGCGGAACATTTAGCTGCTGCATGGCTATTCGTAACTGCTTACTTTAGGATGGGAGAGGCAAAAAATGACTTGCAAATGGAATTGATCATCAAAAGAGAAGCAAAGCAGCAAAATCTGGAGCTATTTCAGCCTGGCCATGTACAGTGCAACGCGTGTTCTGGATAGGAAACCGAGGGTATGGCCCTGCGACCTTTTGCTAAGGAGATTAGTACAGAGAGAAGGGATTATCTAGAGAATGGAAGAAAGACCCTGAAGGCATTTCAGAGATCTTAGAGGCCACCCCTCCTATCACAGGCTCAGAGGCCCCAAGGGCAGGATGGTTTGGGGGACAGACCTAGGGTGCCTCCACAGGTGATCCCAGGGCCCCTCATGTCTCTGCTGCCTGCACCCTGGCACAGCATTCCTCACTGCACCTCCCGTGGCTCAAGTGGCCTTTGGTGTGGCTCGTGCCACAGCCCCAGAAGGTGTAAGTTGTAAATCTTGGCAGCATCCATGTGGTGCTAATTCTGCAGGCTGGCACATAGCAAGAGCTACAGAAGCTTGGCAGTCTCCACTTAGATTTCAGAGGATGCTGTTGAGACCAGGTGTGGTGGCTCAGGCCTCTAATCCCAGCAGTTTGGGAGGCTGAGGTGAGAGGGCTGCTTGAGGCCAGGAGTTTGAGACCAGCCTGGACAATGCAGTGAGACCCTGTCTCTACAAAAAATTTTTTTTTAATTAGCAGAACGTGGTGGTGCGAGCCTGTAGTTCTACTACTCAGGAGGCTGGGGTGGGAGGATCACTTGAGCCCTGGAGGTCAAGGCTGCAGTGAGCTGTGATTGTGTCGCTGCACTCCAGCCTGGGTGACAGAGCAAGACCTTGTCTCAAAAAAAGTTAAAGGTTGTTGTTGAAAGCCTAGGGGTCCAGGCAGAGACCTGTCCCAGTGGTGGAGCCACTCTGGAGAGCCCCCGTATGTGCAACTCCCAGTGGAGATGCAGGGTTGGAGCTGCTGCAAAGTCTCTGCCAGGGCAATGCCTAGTGGAGCCATGGGAGCGCGAGTGTCACTGGGACCAAGAAGTGTGAAGTCACCAGCAACGTGCAACACCGGCCTGCAGAAGCTTCAGGCATCAGGCGCCAACCTCTGTGAACAGACACGGGGGCTGCACCCGGCAAAGCCATAGGAGCAGGGCTGCCCCAATGTGTCGGGGGGGTGGCACACAGTGTCAGAAGAGGTGATCCTCCCACCTGAAGCTTGAGCGTCTGCCCTGCTGGGTTTCGGACTTGCTTGGAGCCTTTACTCCTTTCGTTTCCCTTTGTCTCTCTCCTGGGATGGGAATGTTCCTTCTGCCTGCACTGCCACTGTGTTTTGGAAGCAGATGGCTTTTGATTTCACAGGTTCACAGACCAGACTCTGGCCTTTGGATCTTTGAGTTGGTGCTGGAGCAAATGAAGACTCAGGGGCCCTGGGCTTGGAATAACCATGGGGTATTGATCTGTGAGGAGGCTATGAGTTTTGGGGACCAGGGGCAGAAGGCTGTGGTTTGATTCTTTGGCCCCTCCACAACCCATGTTGAAATGTAATTGCCATTGTGGCAGTATCGAGAGGTGGGACTTTTAAGAAGTTGTCAAGTCATGAGAACTCTGCTCTCATGAACAGGTTAATCAATTTGTGGTGAAGGACGCACCACCTGGCAACATGCTACATTGGTACATGTGTTATTTTGGGTTGAAAATATTGGAGAAACTAATTTCAGAAAGGGTTACCTGACTTGTGTCTTTCTGCAGGCATCAAGTCATAAAGATACCTCTGAGTAGGGCGTGGTGCCCTCCTCATACCAGGATGAGAAAATAGTCCTCATCACTGGAAGCAGGATTTCAGGCTGCACTGGACCTGAATAAATTCACTTAATTAACTAGCCTTTAGCTTCTGCTAGTTTTATACCCATCCCAAATATCTCCCAATGTCCCCCCTAGAAATTCACTGCCCCCGACCGAAGAGGCAGTCACCCTCCTTTAAGGAGTCAGAGCTCACCCTCGTTGCTATGCAATGCCTTGTATCGTCTTGGGACTCTGAAGACAGTCCCCACTGGCAAGAAGGCCTTCACCAGGTGTGGGCCCTCAGTCTTGGACTTCTCAGTCTTGCATAACTGTAGGAAATAAATTTCTTTATGAAATGCCCAGTTTCAGGTATTCTGTTCTAAGCAGCAGAAAATGGACGAAGATACTGTGGTTACCCAGGAAACTTGCTGGGTAACTTCTCCCCCAGCAGAGGAGGTCGTGTCAGCCTGCAGCCCCTGGGTCAGAGGGTGTGACTCGGTGATTGTCACCTCCAGGTGTTCCCAGTGCCAGGGCCGTGGGACCTCTCAGAAAGGGCCTGGAGAGAAGCTGAAAGGGAGATGGCTCTTAGTCAGAGGCAGATGTCTCAGGACAGGGCAGGTGACCCAGGGTGACAGAAGCAGCATCACCCTGTTGGGGCAGCGGGACTGACATTCTAGTCCTCAGCCCACCAGGCTAGCTGTGTGATTCCAGGCAATTGCTGACGCTCTTGGTTTTCCCCATTTGGAAATGGGTGTACAGCTAGCTGCTTTCTTTAGCTGTCGTAGGAGTGAGATGGACACGGCATGGGAGGTGTGTTTGTATTTTTCAAAGTGCTCCGTGTTTCTAGTCAACATACGCTCTATGGGTAAGCTCCGTGCACCAGCTCTGTGAGCAGTTTGCAAGAAGGATAAGTGGCGGATTTGTCTGCAGGAGTTTTCAATCCGTGGAGCTAAGTCATGTGCAGGCTTAGAATAGGCAAGCTTTGGGCTATCCCTTTAGAACCTGCCGTCAGCTCCTAAGGAAAACCTTAGGTGATAAAGCCAGGAGATACTGGTCTGTTGGTGGGGGAGGGGGTGGCATTCTTCTAATCTACTCTGGCTTCCGTCCTTTCCCACCTTCAGGGGTTTATGGCTTCCTGACCTTTGGGACAGAAGTTTCTGCTGACGTCTTGATGTCCTACCCAGGCAATGACACAGTCATCATTGTGGCCCGGGTCCTTTTTGCTGTCTCCATCGTAACTGTCTACCCCATCGTGCTCTTCCTGGGCAGGTGAGGCCTGGCTCAGTGGGGGGCACCAGTCCTCAGGGTCTGCTGCCATGTGCTGTGATTGAGCATGTGCCAGGTGTGGGCTACACAGTTGTGGGACTGTCATCGTCTCCATTGTAGAGAGAAGGAAACAGACACAGAGGAGTTAGGTAGATTGCGCCAAGTCACCTCGTGAGTGTGCGTCACAGCCAGGACTTGAACTCAAGCCCACGTGCTTGATCCTCTGTTTCATGGGCTGCCTGATGGTGGCAGAACTGCTGAGGATTGGCAAAGTCCCCTGGGGAATAAGGGCCAGAGCGTGGAACAGGAGCCGTGTCAGGACACTCCTAGAGGACTGCGGGAGCAGCTGGCAGGTGCAGGCTGGTGTCTCTGGGATACCCATGTGTCTGTTGTGGGTATGGCCTCCAGGTCAGTGATGCAGGACTTCTGGAAGAGGAGCTGCTGGGGGACGCGGGGGCGCGGGGCCCTGGCTGACCCCTCAGGGCTGTGGGTCCGGATGCCGCTGACCATCCTGTGGGTCACCGTGACACTCTCCATGGCGCTGTTTATACCCGACCTCAGCGAGATTGTCAGCATCATCGGAGGCATCAGTTCCTTCTTTATCTTCACCTTCCCAGGTGAGGACCCTGGTTTTCAGGCTTCCCGCCTGCTCATCCTTCCCTGCTCTTCTCTGTGGGGACTCCCAGTGTTGGAGGTAATGGTTCTGGAAGGTGGGAGCCACATATGGGTAGGAATAAGGCCCCATGTAGGTGCCCTGCTTGTTGAGCCAGGCACAGGGCTCAGAGTTTACATACCTTCCCTTACTTATTAAACATCTGAGTAGTCCCTGATAGGGTTTGGTTGTGTTCCCAAACAAACCTCGCTTTGAACTGTAATAATCCCTGTGTGTGAAGGGTAGGGCAAGATAGAGATAGTTGAATCATGGGAGTGGCTCCCCCCATACTGTTCTCCTGGTAGTGAATAAGTCTCATGAGATCTGATGGTTTTATAAAGGATAGTTCAACTGCACAAGCTCTCTTGCCTGCTGCCATGTAAGACGTCAGCCTGCTCTTCATTCGAGTTCTGCCATGATTATGAGGCCTCCCAGCCATGTGGAACTGTGAGTCCATTAAACCTCTTTCCTCTATAAATTACCTAGTCTCTGGCCAGGCGCGGTTGCTCATGCCTGTAATCCCAGGCCGAGGCGAGTGGATCACCTGGGGTCGAGAGTTCAAGACCAGCCTGATCAACATGGAGAAACGCTATCTCTACTAAAAATAAAAAATTAGCCAGGCATGGTGGCACATGTCTGTAATTCCAGCTACTCGGGAGGCTTAGGCAGGAGAATCTCTTGAACTCAGGAGGTAGAGGTTGCAGTGAGCCGAGATTGTGCCATTGCACTCCAGCCTGGGCAACAAAAATGAAACTCCATCTCAAAAAAAAAAAAAAAGAAAAAATTACCTAGTCTCTGGTAGGTCTTTATTAGCAGCATGAGAACAGACTAATGTGGTTCTTGATGGACATCCTTGACGGACGAACCTTTATCATCCCACTCCACAGAGGGAAAGACCAAGACCCTGAGCCCCTCCAGGGGCCAAGCTAGTGTGCAGCAGGGCTGAGGGTCGGCCGTGCAGCTCTGTCCATGCTACCACTGCTGCCTTTTGCTAAAGGATTTTGTTTTATTAAAAAAGAAAATTGGATATGTGAAAGTCACGTGGCCGAAGACACCCTCCAAATGTCTCCCTGCCTTCCTGGCCCCCAGGCAATGGAGGCAAACACTGTTTCTGCAGAGGATGGTTTCTTATGAATCCTTTCCAAAGTTAGTGTGTGATGGGGAGTTGTTCCAATTTGGAACAGCCCAGGCGTTATCTGAGGAGAAGCCAGCAGGACTGGGGCTGGAGGGATGCTTCTTCCAGAGGAAGGAGGAACACTGTAGTGGGGCCCAGAACAGAAACCCCAGATCCACTGGGGTGGGTGCAGGGCCCCACGCACAGCAAGTGCTGAGCACAGAGTCCAGGCTCCCATAGTGCTTTTTCCATGAGTGGACCGTGTCATGCAGCTGTGAGAGGAACCATGTCAAGCAGACATTGAGCTTGGGGACCCTTAGCCAGGCATCCCCAAACCCCCAATGCAGCCCTTATGTTAAACAGAGAAGAAGTAGGTGCCCACTGGTGAAACTTACAGAAAGCCCGGGAGAGGCTCTACCAGGTTTTCCAAATCTCTAATGGGGAAATGCAACATTGTTCAGGGTCCCAGGTAAGTGGGTGATGACAAATTCTTCAGTAGCCTGGAGGTGGAGGATGGAAGAACTGAGGGCCGCAGAGAAACCTTGGTCATCAAAGAGGCCAGCTGATGTGTGGAATATGAAAACTGAGTTCTTAGCAGGTGAATTCAGGGATGGTCTTTGATGTAGTTCCTTGAGACTCTAACCCTGCCTGCCCTAGCTCCTGTGAATTGGCATCTACTGGAATTAAGGGATAAAAACTGGGGAAGGGAAGGGAGGGGAGGAGAGCAGCCATCCCCTCTGCTTCTGGCTGTGGGCGGAGCTCTTAGAGGTGAGGGTGTGGCCATATGGCTCCTCCCTCAGGCTTTCAGGGAGGTGAGGGATGTGGCTTGGGGTGGAGCTTTCAGGGAGGTGAAGGATGTGGCTTGGGGTGGAGCATTCAGAGGTAAGGGGTGTGGCCACAGCACCTCCCTCAGACTCTGGGCGGGGCTTTCAGGGCTGAGGGTGTGGTCACATGGCTCCTCCCTCAGGCTCTGGGTGGAGGTTCTCAGAGGTGAGGGTGTGACCACGTGGTTTTCCCCCGAGTTCCCTGGTCTGGGATTCTCGATTAGATTCTGGTTCTGTGACCAAGTACCTAGTTGTAGCTCTGGCTATTTTCTGTGCTGGGAAGGACTGCCCAGGACAGGTTTGGGATGAGAGAGGATCCCACGGGAGCTTTAGGCTGAGGTACATGCCTTGAATCCCAGCACACCCATTAAAAATAAAATTGGGGTAGCTGCCAGTTACTGAGCACTTAGGTGTCAGGCATGGACCCTCACCATCTTCTTGCAGACCCTGCCGTGGAGGGCGTGTTATCAAGGTTGCCTGAAAGACAAGGCTTTGGGAAGCCAGTTGTAGCCAGACCTCTGGCCAAGTCACTAGGGGCATGTTGAGCTGGGACTCCAGCCCTGTCCTTCCAGTTCCAGTCCCGTCCTTCCAGTTCCACTGCGTTGCCTCTCCAGGGGGCCTGAGCCCAGGGCGCCTGTGCGCAGAAGCCTTGCTGGCCTTCTGGATCCCTGAGGACTGCTCCCAGGACGACTTGGTTGCTTTGGGCTTGATGATGAAGAGCTGGGGGTGACCGTGTGTTCTTTGCAGGTTTGTGCCTCATCTGCGCAATGGACGTCGAGCCTGTAGGACCGAGAGTAAAGTAAGTGTCCCTAAGATAAGGTGTCAATCTGAGTGTGCCCCGTATCAGATTAAGAATGCTTGAGGGACCCTGGAGATCCTATTTTCCACCCTCCTAGTCCTGCAGTTGAGAAATGTGCAGCACAGGGAGAGAGTCCCTGTCCACACATTATGAGGGCATCTGAGCCAGGACGGGAGCCCAGGCCAGTGACGCCGGGTCCTGCAAGGGTCTTCGCTTCTGCTCTGAGGGGCTGTGCTTGGGATTTCATGTAGATTCCGGCCTCTGGAAGCACCCAGTGGTGCATCTGCACCCTCCTTTGCTACCTGGCTCTAACCCAGGGCAGGGTCAGGGTGCAGGCAGAGTTAGAGAGGCACCATGGCTGGTCAGATACCAAACAGTGTGTTCTATCATCACGGCAGCAGGTCGCTGTTGGGGCTCCTTTGTTAGGTACTGTGCTAGGTCCCTTTACGTGTTCCCCTTTCCGCGATACCCGCATGTCTCCATCCTACAGATGAGGAGGCGGACCAGGAGGCTAGTGCGGACAGAGCTAGGATATAACCTAGGCCCCTGGCTCCCAGGCCCTGTGTCACCCACTTGTGTTGCATACCATGCTCTTGAGATGAGAATTTGGATCTTTATTTGACAAGTTATCCCTGGGCTGGGCTGTGGATCAGACACGACTGAGGAGCCTCTGTACTTTGCCACTGAGCTGCTGAGTCTGACTCACTGAAAAAGACGATGTACGCATGACTGATGTGCTCTTTCTCTGACATTCCTGGGGAGCCTGAGGGTCTCTGTGACTCCCTCCTATTCCACAGATGTGGAAACTGAGGCTGAGGCAGGTAAAGAGATGCTGTATTAGTTTTCTCGGGTCATTGTAACGAATTACCACAAACTGGGGCATGGGATTGGGGAGGCTTAAAGCAACAGGAGTGAATTTTCTCCCAGTTCTGGAGCCAGGAGTGCAACGTGAGGGTGTGGGCAGGGCTGGACTGTCTGAAGAATCCTGAGCTTCTGGTTGCCCCAGGTGCTCCTCAGCCTGTGGCTACACCACTCCAGTCTCTGACTCTCTATCTAGTCTTCTCCCTGTGTCTCTGCATCTCAAATATCCCTCTGCTTTTATTTTATTTTTTGAGAGAAGGTCTTGCTCTGTGGCTCAGGGTGGAGTACAGTGGTGTGATCAAATGATGGCTTACTACAGCCTCTACCTGCTGAGCTCAAGAGATCCTCCTGCCTCAGCCTCCCTAGTTGCTGGGACCACAGACACCTACCACCACACCTGGCTGCCTTCTTTTATAAGGATACCTACCATCGGATTGAGTGCCTACCCTAAATCTAGATTGCCTCCTCTCTCAAGATCTTTCACTTAATGACATCTGCAAGACTCAGCTTCCAGATGAGCTCACAAACACAGGTTCCAGGTGGACATGAATTGTGGGGGCCAGCCTTCACCCCACCAGAGATCATCTGAAATGACAGCAACTGTGAACGTGGGGCCCAGCTCTAGGTTTCTTCCCTGTATCCCTCATCCCTCTAGCCCCATGGAGCCCAAGTTTGGTTTTTCCAAAGGAGCAGGCCTGGCTCCGTTTCTTCTGGACTGAGAGCAGTTGTTTTTTGTTTTGTTTTTGTTTTTGAGATGGAGTCGTGCTCTGTCGCCCAGGCTGGAGTGCAGTGGCGCAATCTCAGCTCACTGCAACCTCCGCCTCCCAAGTTCAAGCAGTTCTCCCCTCGAGTAGCTGGGATTATAGTGGGATTACAGGCACCCACAACCACACCCAGCTAATTTTTGCATTTTTAGTAGAGACGGGGTTTCACTACATTGGCCAGGCTGGTGTGGAACTCGTGACCTCAGGCGATCCGCCCACCTTGGCCTCCCAAAGTGCTGGAATTACAGGCGTGAGCCACCATGCTCGGCTGCAGATTGAGAGCAGTTTTTCTGGATGTTTCTAAACCTGCCTGGGGTTTTGAACTAGACTCCTGTTGTCTGGCAACCCTCCAAGCCTCTCGTTCCCTGGGGCGCCCTTCGCAGTCTTCATGCTTTGGTTTTTTCCCTTGATCCCAGCTCACGACAGTTCTTACTGCTGAGCTCTCAAGATATTTTTATTGCTAAAACTGCCTTAGGCCCTTCTAATATATCAGTGCCTCCCCAGGAGTGCCACAGCCCACGGGCACATTGGCCTCAGAGTCCCCCCGAAGATGAATGGATGTTTGCGGCACTTAACCGCCGTGCTGAGATATTGCTCGGTTAGAAATATTCCTTCCATGACAACCCATCCTTCTGGCCTTTGTTAATGGGGCCAGAAATACCTCTAGCGGCCCTGCCATTTTGTGGGAATCTTGTTAACGCTCTGACCTCGTCGTCTGCCCTGTCTCTGGTAACATTACGAAGCTTGCAAATGTGGCCTTGGTGGCTGCCGGTCCCAGACACCTCTGCCTCCTGCGTCCTCCTCCCCTACCCCTCTAAGGTGGTGTGTGATTGAGAGCTTGCGTCTTCTCCTTCACGTTCATGGGGTTTCATCAGAGGCTGAGGGAGGGTGGGGGAACTTTCAAAGCAGTGCTTTCTCCCCTCTCTCCTTGTCTTTTCCTTTCCTTTTTTCTAAAAAATTTTTTTTTTTTTTTTGAGATGGAGTCTTGCTCAGTCATCCAGGCTGTAGTGCAGTGTCGTGATCTTGGCTCACTACAATCTCCGCCTCCTGGGTTCAAGCAATTCTCCTGCCTCAGCCTCCC